GGGAAGTCCATGTGAGCCTCAGAATTACATTGGCCTAATCCAAGTTCTAGAAGACTGTGTCAAAACCAAGCCTAATCCTTGCAAGTAATGGTCATGAACTTTGGGTGTGAACTCAGCATGCATTGCTTGCATGCCAAGTTTTTCTTTCTTGGGTTCTATTACATAGTTTGTGTCAAATCTGCCGCAGTTGGCTGCAAACTAATATTTCACAATGTTCTTAGGTTATTTCAGCTTATTTTTACATTTGTTGTGTTATTTGGGCCAAACATTCATTTAGTTGAAGCCCAAATTCATGGTTATTAGGGTTAAGACCTGGTTTATTAGTTTTCTATTCTGGTTAAGATTAGTTTTAGCTATTTATAGGGCTATAAAGCTAATTGTAAAACAGATCATTATTCATCAACATTGTGAGAACGAATTCACTCTGGTTCTTTGAACAAATATTAGAACTTATCAAAATTATCCGTGGCATTCATTCTTGACTTATCAATCAGCCCTTCCATAGTTGATTGTGATGTCTTTTTCATACCAAGGTTCTTACCTTGTCATAGGTAACGGGTCACGGTTCCATCCTCTCGAACTTGTCTTAGAAATGGTCTTGGTGCCTTGTCTTCTTTACGGGTTTCGTCACAAGTTGGAGTAGTTCGTATGATCTAAATCCAGGTTTGACTTTAAAGGATTCAATTGAAGTTCCCGTCGGACTAGTTAGGAGGGCTCGAGCTAAGAAGTTGAAGGAAGCACTTAACGGGCTAATTTGAGAAATATGGACTCAAGCAAATTCGTGGAGGCCCATTGAGGGAAGTCCATGTGAGCCTCAGAATTACATCAGCCTACTCCAAGTTCTAGAAGACTGTCAAAAACAAGCCTAATCTTTGCAAGTAATGGCTATGAACTTTGGGTGTGGACTCAGCATGCATTGCTTGCATGCCAAGTTTTTCTTTCTTGGTTTGTATTACACAGTTTGCATAAAATCTGTCGTAGTTGGCCGCAAACTAATATTTCACAATGTTCTTAGGTTATTTTGGCTTATTTTTACATTTGTTGTGTTATTTGGGCTAAACATTCATTTAGTTGAAGCCCAAATTTGTGGTTATTAAGGTTAGGACCTGGCTTGTCAGTATTCTATTCTGGTTAGGATTAGTTTTAGCTATTTATAGGGCTGCAACCCTAATTGTAAAATAGATCATTATTCATCAACATTGTGAGAACGAATTCTCTCTGGTTCTTTAAACAACTTTTCAAGCTTATCAGAATTGTCCGTGGTGTTCATCCCCGACTTATCAAGCAACCCTTCCATAGTTGATTGTGGCATCTTCTTCATACCAAGGTTCTTACCTCGTCATAGGTAACGGGTCGCTGTTCCATTCTCTCGAACTTCTCATAGAAACGGTATTGGTGCCTTGTCTTGTTTACTGGTTTTGTCACAGGTTGGCCTAGCTCGTATGATGTAAATACAGGTTTGACTTTAAAGGATTCAATTCAAGTTCCCATTGGACCAATTACGAGGGCTCAAGCTAAGAAGTTCAAGGTAGCACTTAAAGGGATGATTCGAGAAATATGAACTCAAGCAAATTCATGGAGGCCCATTGAGGGAAGTCCATGTGAGCTTCAGAATTACATCAGCCTAATCCAAGTTCTAGAAGACTTTGTCAAAGCCAAGCCTAATCTTTGCAAGTAATGGCCATGAACTTTGGGTGTGAACTCAGCAAACATTGCTTGCATGCGAAGTTTTTCTTTCTCGGGTTGAATTTCACAGTCTGTGTCAAATTTGCCCTAGTTGGCCGCAAACTAATATTTCACAATGTTCTAAGGTTATTTTAGCTTATTTTTACATTTGTCGTATTATTTGGGCTAACATTCATCTAATTGAAGCCCCAAATTCGTGGTTATTAGGGCTAGGACATGGTTTGTTAGTTTCTTTTTCTAGTTTGGATTAGTTTTAGCTATTTATAGGGCCGCAACACTAATTGTAAAACAGATCATTATTCGTCAACACTGTGAGAGCGAGTTCTCTGTGGTTCCTTGAACAAATTTTCTAACTTATCGGAATTATCCGTGGCGTTCATCCTCAACTTATCAATCAAACCTTCCATAATTGATTGCGGCGTCTTCTCTATACCAAGGTTCTCTTGGTGCCTTGTCTTGTTTACGGGTTTCGTCACAGGTTGGCATAGTTCATATGATATAAATCTAGGTTTGACTTTAAAGGATTCAATTCAAGTTCCCATTAGACTAGTTATGAGGGCTCGAGCTAAGTTCAAGGGAGCAATTGATGGGCTGATTCGAGAAATATAGACTCAAGCAAATTCGTGGAGGCCCATTGGGGGAAGTCCCTGTGAACCTCAAAATTACATCGGCCTAATACAAGTTCTAGAAGACTGTGTCAAAGCCAAGCCTAATCTTTGCAAGTAATGGTCATGAACTTTGGGCGTGAACTCAACAAGCATTGATGGGAATCAAGACGACAGCATATCTACTACGTCATGTGATCCATTACACACCCAAGGAGGTCCAGTCACGCGAGCTAGAGCTAAGAAGATGCATGAAGCTTTAAATGGCCTTATTGAGCAAATCTGGATTGAAAACAACATAAAATAAGCAAATCGAAGCTTGGATGATTATCAAGGTATGGTAAACATCATTCAGGTTCAAGAGAAGCTTAGTTGAGGTCATTTGCACGGAATTACACAGTTTATGTCAAAATCGCACAATTCTGCCACAATTTGTAGCAAATTGATATTTCATGTTATTTTAGGTTATTTTTAGTGATTTTCGCAATTTTTGTATTATTTTTGGGCTGAACATTTGCTTATTTGAAGCCCAATTCGTGGTTATTATGTTTAGGACTTAGGGTGTTAGTTTCCTATTCTGATTATGATTTGTTTTCTCTATTTAAAAGGCTTGTAACCCTAATAGGGAGGAGGGTATTGAATTTGAGATTTTGAGAGACTTTTCTCTTTGATTCGTTTCAAAACTTTACAGAACTTATCAAGATTATTCTTGTGGCGTTCTAACCTGACTTGTCATTCTCGTTCTTAATTGTTTGAGGGTGTGGCGTCAACCAAATTTATACCTCTGGCTCTTGTTATGTCATAGACAATGGGTCAAGGTTTTTACCTTTGGTTCTTGTTGCGACATAAACAACGGGTCAAGGTCCTATTATAAACTTGATTTAGCTTTCCTGGAGTTCAGAAATCCCTTGTCGTGCTGTGGGTCTCATTGTTCTCTTTGGGGTTCTCATCATAAGAAGTTCAAGGAAGCGCTTAATGGGCTGATTCGAGAAATATGGACTCAAGCAAATTCATGGAGTCCCATTGAGGGAAGTCCATGTGAGCCTCAGAATTACATCGGCCTAATCCAAGTTCTAGAAGACTCTATCAAAGCCAAGCCTAATCTTTGCAAGTAATGGTCATGAACTTTTGGCGTGAACTCAGCAAGCGTTGCTTGCATGCCAAGTTTTTCTTTCTTGGGTTTTATTACACAGTTTGCGTTAAATCTGTCGCAGTTGGCCTCAAACTAATATTTTCCAATGTTCTTAGGTTATTTTAGCTTGTTTCTACATTTGTTGTGTTATTTGGGCTAAATATTCATTTAGTTTAAGCCCAAATTTGTGATTATTAGGGTTAGGACCTGGTTTGTTAGTTTCCTATTCTGGTTACGATTAGTTTTAGCTATTTATAGGGCTGCAACCCTAATTGTAAACAAGATCATTATTCATCAACTTTGTGAGAACAAATTCTCTCTGGTTCTTTAAACAAATTTTCGAACTTATCGAAATTATCCGTGGCGTTCATCCTCGACTTATATCAACCCTTCCATAGTTGATTTTGGCATCTTCTTACCAAGGTTCCTATCTCGTCATAGGTAATGGGTCGCAGTTCCATCATCTCGAACTTGTCTTAGAAATGGTCTTGGTGCTTTGTTTTGTTTACAGGTTTCGTCACAAGTTGGCGTAGTTCATATTAGTTTGGTATCAAAGCATAGGTTCTAAATCAGGTTTGCGTATCTTTAATCAGTCGGTTTCTTCCATTAAAAAAAAAAAGTCAATTTCATTCTTTCCTTTGTTGTCCAAAACTTTGCTTGTCTTGATTTTCTCAATATGTGTTGCTAGTTCTAAAAAAAAACAAAAAAAAAAAAAAGGTGAGTTGAAGAGACAAGAAGTTTGTGGTTTTGAACTTCTTATAAGTAGTAGAGATTGTCTTTGAATTTTGGTCAAATAAGAAGTTTGAGATTTGTTTGAATTCTGGTCAAATTAGGATATAGTAGTTTTGTTTGTTTGTTTCTTCTTCCTAAGTTAAGAATCTTACTGTCAATCCAATTCCTACTAAGAATAGTCAAACTGATCCATCTTTCTTGCTTTTTTTATTGTTTCCTTCCATTGTTCTAATATGCAGGAGTCCTAATCTGACTTTACCCCAAAGTGCAAACTTTTTTCTTTGTCCAAAATTTTCGTGTTTTCCACAAATTCCAAAATCTGATCAGTACGTGTTCATTGTAGTCATCCTTTTAAAACTCATATTTTGGTTGGTAAGTTTGTGGTGAATTGCTACTTGGAATTTTGAATTTGTTTGTTTAGTTTGAAAAGAACTGAAAGAGAATTCACCAGTGGAAAAAGGCAAGAGTGGTGAGCATATGAAAGGGTGAAAACCAATTCAGTGAAACACGAGCAAAATTGAGTGATACATGTTTTTTTTGAGCGAAACACGTGAGGGAGTGTGGTGAGGTCATTTCCATATTGTTTCTAACCCCATTTTGTAGATTTCAAACATGTCATGCAACCAAGAAGAAAACTTGAGTGAAGAACTTCCACAACAAACCCTTCCAAACCTACAACTATAGGCAATATTGGGAGAGGTACGATGGATGGTGAATAGGTTCATTGAACCCATGCAAGAGCTATTGGAAACGTTACAATTGGAGAATAGGAGGCAACAACGAAATTCTCCTGCTTGGCCACCACCTAGGCAAATGCAGCAAAGAGAACATTAGGGAAACATAGAAGAAGAAGAGGAGTTGGAGGAGTTGGAAGTGTTGAATGAGCCATCATTGAACTGAGGTAGGTTTAGGCATGGGAATTGGAATAGAGAAGTTAGGAATCAGGAGGACAATAGTTTGGGCAGCATCAAGATGAAGATTCCACCATTCCAAGGAAAAGCAGATCCGAAAGCCTATCTTGAGTGGGAAAGGAATGTGGAGTTGGTCTTCAATTGCCACAATTATTTTGAGCGTAAGAAGGTGAGACTGGCAGCCATTGAATTTTCCGACTATGCTCTTGTTTGGTGGGATCAGTTGGTGATGACGTTGGAACCAAGAACATGCAATTGAAACATGGGAAGAGATGGAGAAAGCCATGATTAGAGCTAATGTAGAAGAAGACCGAGAGGTAACCATGGCGAGATTCTTGCAAGGATTGAATCCAAACATCCATGATCAAGTGGAGATGCAACATTATGTGGAGCTAGAAGACATGGTGCACATGGCCATCATTGTAAAGCGACAGCTTAAGAGAAGGGGAGGTACAGATGTTGGCCTTGGAAACCAAGTTCTTCTAGAAAGAAGGACAAGACACAAACATCCTTAACTCTCAAGCACCAATCTAAGCATAAGACTAAGAACACCAGCCGTGAATCTCAAGGTAAAACTAACACTTCTACTACTCCAAATCATGATATTAAGTGCTTTAAATGTCAAAGCAGGAGTCACATAGCGAGTCAATGTCCAAAAAAGTGGGTTATGGTGTTGCGAGACAGTGGTGAAATTGTGACCAAAGACAAAGATTCTGACACTGATGCAATGCCACCATTGGAGGATGCCTATGAGGAAGAGTTTTCTGTACATGGAGATTTGTTGGTGGCGAGGAGGGCTTTAAAGTGTGCAAGAAAAGGACATGGATGGAGTGCAACAAGAGAACACCTTTCACAGTAGGTGCTATGTCAAAGATAAGGTATGCATTGTGATTATTGATGATGGTAGTTGTACTAACATTGTTAGCACAACCATGGTGGGAAAATTAGGATTGCCCACACTGAGACACCCTGCTCCGTATAAGTTGCAATGGTTGAATGATAGCGGCGATGATGGGAATCAAGATGACCCCACATGTACCACGTCAAGAGATCCATTACACATTCCAGGAGGTCCAGTCACAAGAGCTAGAGCTATTGAATCTGAGTTTTTGAGAGACTTTTCTCTTTGATTCATTTCAGAACTTTACAGAACTTATCAAGATTATTCTTGTGGCATTCTAACCTGACTTATCATTCTCGTTCTTAATCGTTCGAGGGTGTGGCGTCAACCAACTTTATACCTCTGGTTCTTATTGCGTCATAGACAACGGGTCAAGGTTTTTACCTTTGGTTCTTGTTGCGACATAAACAACGGGTCAAGGTCCTATTATAAACCTGATTTAGCTTTTCTAGAGTTTAGAAATCCCTTGTCGTGCTGTGGGTCTCATTGTTCTCTTTGGGGTTCTCATCAGGTGAGGTAAAGGTAAACAAACAAGTTTTAGTTGCATTTCGGATCGAAAAATACGAAGATGAGGTGCTTTACGATGTCATTCCCATGCATGCTGGGCACTTGTTGTTAGGGTGACCATGGCAGTTTGATCGACGAGTCAAGCATGATGGGTTTACCAACAAATACTTTTTTGTACTCAATCAGTGTCCAATCACTCTTGTACCTTTGACACCCCAACAGGTGTATGAGGATTAAGTGAGGCTTAAAAAAGAGAGAGATCAAAAAGAAGAGATGAGCAAAAAAGAGAGAGTGAGATAAAAGATAGAAGTGGAAATTTGAGAGAAAAAGAGAGAGGCCAAAAAATTTGAGAGAAAAAAAGAAGGCAGATTCAGCTTTAGTGAGTTTAAGAGAGCTCCAACATTGTTTCATTGCAAAAAAAAAGTGAGATCAAGAAGAGCAAGAAAAGGCATTTCAGCTAATCAAGCAAAAATTGACTAGTGCTCCATTATTGTCTTTACCTATTTTTGATAAAATGTTTGAGATTGAATGTGAAGCTTCAAGTGTAAGAATTGGGGCAGTACTCATGCAAGAGGGTTGACCAATTGCGTATTTTAGTGAAAAGTTAAGTGGGGCAACTCTAACTACCCAACTTATGACAAGGATTTATACGCATTGGTTTAGGCATTAAAACATAGCAACATTATCTTTGGCCCAAGGAGTTTGTGATACACACTGATCACGAATCATTGAAGCACTTGAAAGGTCAACACAAATTGAACAAGAGGCATACGCATACACATACGCAATGGATGGAGTTCATCGAGATGTTTCCATATGTCATCCAATACAACCAAGGTAACGAGAATGTGGTTGCTAATGCACTTCTCGCAGGTATGTATTAATCTCTACCCTTGATGCAAAATTACTTGGTTTTGAGCACATTAAAGAATTATATCCTTTAAACCAAGATTTTCGTGAGTTTTGAGCTTGTGAGAAAAATGCAGCCGGTAAGTTTTATAGGCATGATGATTTCTTGTTTCAGGAAAATAAGTTATGTGTGCCAAATTGTTCTTTGCATGATTTGCTAGTTAGGGAATCCCATAGCGGAGGGTTAATGGGACATTTTGGGGTTGCTAAGACCTTAGCTATTTTGCAGGAACACTTCTTTTGGCCACATATGAAAAGAGATGTTGAGAGGATTTGTGGTAGATGTGTCACGTGTAGGCAAGCAAAATCCCGAGTGCAACCCCATGGTTTGTATACGCCACTACCTATTCTTAGTGAACCTTGGATTGATATTTCCATGGACTTTGTGTTAGGCTTGCCTAGGACTAGAGATTCAACTCTTTGTGGTTGTGGATAGGTTCTCTAAGATGGCACATTTTATCCCAAGTCATAAAATGGATGATGCTTCACATATTGTTGATTTGTTCTTTAGGGAGATTGTGAGATTACATGGTATGCCTAGAACAACTGTTTCAGGTCGAGATGCTAAGTTTTTGAACTACTTTTGGAAGATTTTGTGGAGTAAGCTAGGTAATAAACTATTGTTTTCTACCACCTGTCACCCACAAAATTGATGGTCAAACCGAAGTAATAAATAGGACTTTGTCAACTATGTTGAGGGCTATCATTAGTAAGAACATTAAAACTTGGGAAGATTGTTTGCCACATGTTGAATTTGCTTATAATCGTACTATTCATTCTGCTACTAAATTTTCACCCTTTGAAATTGTGTATGGGTTTAATCCATTAACTCCATTGGGTTTATCTCCTTTACCAATGTCTGAGCATGTTAATTTAGATGGCAAAAAGAAAGCTGATTTTGTGAGGTAGATTCATGACAAGGCAAGACTCAACATTGAGGGAAGAACAGAGCAATATGCAAAGCAAGCCAACAAAGGGTGTTCTAAGCTGGTCTTCGAACCTGGAGATTGGGTTTGGTTGCACATGAGGAAAGAAAGATTCCCACCACAAAGGCGTTCCAAATTGCTTCCAAGAGGAGATGGTCCTTTCTAAGTCTTAGAGCGCATCAATGATAATGCTTACAAACTAGATTTACCAGGTGAGTACAATGTTAGTGCCACTTTTAATGTTGCTGATTTGAGTCCTTTTGATGCAGTAGATGATTTGAGGACAAATCCTTTTCAAGAGGAGGGGAATGATATAAATCGAGGTTTGACTTTAAAGGATTCAATTCAAGTTCCCGTTGGACCAGTTACAAGGGCTCGAGCTAAAAAGTTCAAGGAAGCACTTAATAGGCTGATTCGAGAAATATGGACTCAAGCAAATTCGTGGAGGCCCATTGAGGGAAGTCCATGTGAGCTTTAGAATTACATCAGCCTAATCCAAGTTCTAGAAGACTCTGTCAAAGCCAAGCCTAATCTTTGCAAGTAATGGTCATGAACTTTGGGTGTGAACTCAACAAGCATTGCTTACATGCCAAGTTTTTCTTTATTGGGTTGAATTACACAGTTTGCGTCAAATCTGCCATAGTTGGTCGCAAAGTAATATTTCACAATGTTTTAAGGTTATTTTAGCTTATTTTTACATTTGTTGTGTTATTTGGGCTAAACATTCATTTAGTTGAAGCCCAAATTTGTGCTTATTAGGGTTAGGACCTGGTTTGTTAGTTTTTCCTAGTCTGGTTAGGATTAGTTTTAGCTATTTATAGGGCTGCAACCCTAATTGTAAAATAGATTATTATTCATCAGCGTTGTGAGAACAAATTCTCTCTGGTTCTTTGAACAACTTTTCGAACTTATCGGAATTATCTGTGGCATTCATCCTTGACTTATCAATCAACCCTTCCATAGTTGATTGTGGCGTCTTCTCGATACCAAGGTTCTTATCTCGTCATAGGTAGCGGGTCGCAGTTCCATTCTCTCAAACTTGTCTTAGAAGGTCTTGGTTCCATCCTCTTGAACTTGTCTTAGAAACAGTCTTGTGCCTTGTCTTGTTTACGAATTTTGTCACAGGTTGTGATGGGAATCAAGACGACAGCATATCTACCACGTCATGTGATCCATTACACACCCAAGGAGGTCCAGTCACGCGAGCTAGAGCTAAGAAGATGCGTGAAGTTTTAAAAGGCCTTATTAAGCAGATCTGGGTTGAAAACAACATACAACAAGCAAATCGAAGCTTGGATGATTATCAAGGCATGATAAACATCATTCAGGTTCAAGAGAAGCTTAATTGAGGTCATTTATGCTAAATTACACAGTTTGCGTCAATCTCACAATTCTGTTGCAATTTGTAACAAACTGATATTTCATGTTACTTTAGGCTACTTTTAGTGATTTTCACGTTTTTTATATTATTTTGGGCTGAACATTCATTTATTTAAGGCCCAATTCATGGTTATTATGATTAGGGCTTAGGGTGTTAGTTTCCTATTCTGATTAGAATTACTTTTCCCTATTTAAAGAGGCTTGTAACCCTAATTGAGGGAGGCTATTGAATCTGAGATTTTGAGAGACTTTTCTCTTTGGTTTGTTTTAGAACATTACAGAACTTATCAAGATTATTCTTGTGGCGTTCTAACCTGACTTATCATTCTCGTTCTTTCGAGGATGTGGCGTCAACCAACTTTATACCTCTAGTTCTTGTTGCGTCATAGACAACGGGTCAAGGTTTTTACCTTTGGTTCTTGTTGCGACATAAACAACGGGTCAAGGTCCTATTATAAATCTGATTTAGCTTTCCTGGAGTTTAGAAATCCCTTGTTGTGCTGTGGGTCTCATTGTTCTCTTTGGGGTTCTCATCAGATATAGATGGAGGGAAGTGATATTAAATCCAATTTTGTTGGATGGTAGTGTGGAGAGGTGGTAGTAGTATATGGTTCCAGTTATATACATAAAAAGTATGTACCTATACCCATACTTCAAGCACATGGCTGTTATATGCCGTCTTTGTACAGTATGTTCCTATTTTTTCTACTTCTGAATGTAAGTAATGCATTATGATCTAATATCCCTTTTGAGTAAGAACTGGTTTTTGAGTAAGCACATGGCTGTTAGTTGATCTTCTCAGTTGCTAGCTTTCATTATTTTAAATACATGAATGGTATGTTAGTGGAGGTCATTGTTTCTTTTTTCTTTTTTTTTCTTATCTAATTTGTTTATCTTGAGATAATTTAAATAATATTTTGAAAGATTAAAATTGTTAATTTTGATTTTATTAAATTTAAATAATAATTAGAATAAGATTTAATTTAATAGAAAAATTCAATTTTAAATACAATTTTAAAATATCCAAATAATGTATTTAAAAATACATGTATTTGAAATTCATTTTTTTTAATTCAATCCAAACAATGTATTTCAAAATACATGTATTTTAAATATATGTATTTTAAATACATGTATTTCAATTACACTCATCAAATTCAAATTTAAGTTCCCAAACACAACCTGAAAGAATTGTTAGTAAGGGAATCTCATGCGGGAGGCTTAATGGGACATTTTAGAGGGCAAAAGGTATCCGTTTACCCTTAAACTTTTCAAATTTGAGGCATTTTACCCCTCATATTACAATACATGATTTTTTATCCTTCATATTTTTGAGTTTGAGGAAATGAGGCAAAATTTAACGTTGGAGGGTCACGTGTAGCACGTGCACCGTTGGACTCCGTTATATATGCACATGTCAGCATCAATGTAGATCTTTTTTACATGTTGGCAACTTATGAACCCCACTTATAATTTGAAAAAAAAAAAAAAAAGTCAGATGAATGCAACTGATTTTTGGAACCCAAGCGCTGGGTTTGACGGAACCCACGCCTGGGTTCCTTCACACCCAGCACGCTGGGTTCTTTTGGAAACCCAGCAAAGGAGAAATGAAGAAAAAGATGGTGATAGGAGCAGTACAGGTAAAATGATAGGATTGTTCATGTACAGGAACCTCCTTTCTTTCTAGAAGAAGGACATCATACAACAGGGTCTCTTTGGTTCCCTTTGCTAGAATCCATTTCTTTCCAGCCCCTCTTCTCCTCTCACTCTCCCCTCCTCTTCTTTTTCTTTGTCATTTTTGT